ACAGTTACCCATTCTGGAAAAGAAGAGGAAAGAAAAATTAGACATAACTCTGGTGGAAGGAGGAGAGAGAAACAGAACTGGAGAGACCAAGAGAAAGAATGTGGTCAGCAGAGGGAGACTTCTGAGGACTATGTGATGGGTCAGAGTCAGGATAATACATGGAAGCCAGGAAACATGATGGAAGTCTTTGCCATTATTTGAGGAATCCCCATGCCTCACTTCATCGAGAAGAAATGCTGTCAGTTTTATTGATGTGGCCTATGGATCTTCCATTAATAATGGACTGCCATCTATAGAATTTCCAATGTAAGAACCCACCTCTGTCCTGAAATTTAGCTGAGGCAATCTGACCAGTTGGAATATATCCCCTTTATTTGGACCTAGGATACTCAAAATAATCCCAACACACAAGGTAGGTCACTGGCACCAAAAGGACCCATGGAAGTATGGAAGGGGAGTCCCAGCACGAGTCACTTGGTGGGATATATTACACCTCTGAACTCATATGGAATGGAACATTTATGTCTTACAGAGGTTCAAGGAAAAGACCTGGGAACATTAGTTTCTTGAAAGTGATGGTTCATTTAAAGGACATAATTTTACTTGGGAATATTTTACACATCATGAGCAAGAGCTACCTAAATTACTGGATTATTTGAGAGAGGGCAGTTTTACTTGTGTCTTGGTAAATGCCATCTCTTGAAACAACATATCTTGAAGAGTAGGAGAGTAAGCACAGGCTACCAAATGATCTCTCTTCCTACCTCTGTGTCCTGTTCCTTTATTAAGCAGCTAAATTTTGTTTATTTCAGTTCAATTGATGATACAGGGGATTTGTCAAATATTACCCTAAGATTTTCAGGCTTCTTATTAAATGAACAGATAGGTATCTGTCAGGCCCATGTTAGCCACTTCTACTCGTTTGAGTTCTTGACACAATCTTCAGAATGAAAAAAGGAGGGCTTCCTGCTCCTTTGAGGCTGGCAGGGAGCAGTGGGACCTGAACATAGAAAGTGTGCAGGTAGTGGTGACACTGTGTTTATCACCTGCTGATCTTCAAAAGCCCTACATATATTACTTAGTGTTCTCTCCTTGAGACTGCTCCATCCCTGCCACAGCTTTCTGGAAATTGTCCCGTGTTTCTCTGTTGGGTTCAGCTTCAAAGCCTTCCTTACCACCAGCAGCTTATAAAGCTATGGCCATAATAAGAAAAACAAAAACATGAATACCCTCAGCAGATCAGACAATTTGGGCAAGAGGCCCACTCCAATGGGCTTAAAAATAGGGAAATGGAACTGCTCACCCTTAAAGATTCATTCGTGCCAGGGCAGGAGGCCTCTCTGAGACGGCTTGTCAGCCACAGGCTGCAGTGTGTGACTCAGTTTTGTGGAGACAGGTCCTCTACTTTGCCCCTTTGTTGTAGCAGAGCTACAATCTCCACATCTGGCACTTTCCAGCATTTCAGTTGCTTTCATGTTGCAGTTTCACACTACATGAAAAGAACGTAAGTTTTCTTTTTTTTTTTTAATTTTTTATTTAATTATAGGTTTTGGGGTACATGAGCAGAGCATGCGAGACAGTTGCGTAGGTACACACATGGCAGTGTGCTTTGCTTTTCTTCTCCCCTTCACCCACATTTGGCATTTCTCCCCAGGCTATCCCTCCCCACCTCCCCCTCCCACTGGCCCTCCCCTTTTCCCCCCAATAGACCCCAGTGTTTAGTACTCCCCTTTCTGTGTCCATGTGTTCTCATTTTTCATCACCCACCTATGAGTGAGAATATGCGGTGTTTCATTTTCTGTTCTTGTGTCAGTTTGCTGAGGATGATGTTCTCCAGATTCATCCATGTCCCTACAAACGACACGAACTCATCATTTCTGATTGCTGCATAATATTCCATGGTGTATATGTGCCACATTTTTCCAATCCAGTCTATTATCAATGGGCATTTGGGTTGCTTCCAGGTCTTTGCTATTGTAAACAGTGCTGCAATGAACATTCGTGTACATGTGTCCTTATAGTAGAACGATTTATAGTCTTTTGGATATATACCCAGTAATGGGATTGCTGGGTCAAATGGAATTTCTGTTTCTAAGGCCTTGACGAATCGCCACACTGTCTTCCACAATGGTTGAACTAATTTACACTCCCACCAACAGTGTAAAAGTGTTCCTTTTTCTCCACATCCTCTCCAGCATCTGTTGTCTCCAGATTTTTTAATGATCGCCATTCTAACTGGCGTGAGATGGTATCTCAATGTGGTTTTGATTTGCATCTCTCTGATGACCAGTGACGATGAGCATTTTTTCATATGATTGTTGGCCTCATATATGTCTTCTTTCGTAAAGTATCTGTTCATATCCTTTGCCCACTTTTGAATGGGCTTGTTTGTTTTTTTCCTGTAAATCTGCTTGAGTTGAAAAGAACGTAAGTTTTCTTTTACTAAATAACATTTAAGTCATTTCCAATTTTTGCTGTTGTAAACAGTGCTCCTGTAGTATCTTTATGCATATAACTTTGTCTACAAAAATACTTCTTTAGGTGACTTCTTAGAAGTGAAATTGTCGCTTAAGGAAATGCACTTTCTAGCATTTCCATTACAGGAAGACAGTCACCCAAATGTCCTCTTCTTACAGTTAGATAAGGCAATCCCCAAATTTACTGCTCTCCAGAAAGAGTCCTTCTAGATGCATAAGTGGAAGAGGCTTTGAAAGAAAGAGCCCCTTCATTTGATGCACTTAATCAATTCCTCGTCTTTCCTTTGGCTCCCAGGATGACTCACTCTTCTGGCTTTCTTCTACTTTTCTGACCATGCCTTCTTAGTCTTAGATAAACCCATTTAATAATCATGACCTCTGAAAGTTGTGGGGAAGGGCAGCACCTGGTCCATAGGACTGCTTGCTCTTATTAATTGAAACTTACTCTTTGCTTTAGGTATGTCATATGCTGATGATGCCCAAATTTATTCTCCAACCATTACTTCTTACCTGGTCTCTGATCTCGTATACCCAATTACCTATATTATGTAATCACTGATAGATTTCAGGGAAAGACCAAATATTTGGTTTCTCCTAAAGAAATATCCCAGTACATCTATCTCAATAAATAATTCCACCATTTACCAAGCAAAAAATCCTGGGGTCATATTAAATTATCCTCTTTCATTCATCCTCCTGTACCCCTGCCACTCCATATCCATTCCAACAGTAAATTCTCTTGACTTTCTCTTATCTTTAAAAGATATCCTGAATCTGGCTATCTTTACTTCCACCACTATCCCTCCAATCTATATCCATCACCCTGGATGTTGTGAAAGCCTCTAGCTGTCCTGTACTCTCCCCTTCTAGTCCTTTCTCCACACAGTGGCCAGAGTATTCACAGCCGTTCTCCTCCAAACTTAACTCTGCTCCAACCATACTGACCTCCTTACTGCAACAAGCTGCCACAGGGGTGATTATACTTGACCTTCTCTCTGCTTATAAAGGTCTTTTCCTAATTATTTCCATGGTGCTCCCTCTCACTCCTTCAGGACACTTCTCCAATGACGTCTCATTAGATAGACCTTTCCTGATTATGCTGTGTAAAGTAGGAGATTCCTTTCCTTCTCACTTCTCTTCCTACTCTTCTTCTCCCTTAACTCCAAAGCTCTGATTATTTATTTGAAAAGTAGCAATAATATTGTATTCATCATAAAGTTATTAAAATACATATGTGAAATACCTGTAAATTGACTGGAAAATAATGAGCCTATAATAATATAATTTGTAAAGCTAAGTACTAATACCCATAAGCTGCTTAAACTATTTTTATTTGATGTGCTATTGTTTTTAATAGGGCCAACAAATTAAGAAATCCTTTTTAGGGCAGGCAGTTAATTTAAATTTGTTATAACCAGTCAGGTACAAAGCAAGAGGGGACAAAGGAGGACTGGAGAGTGGATACCCAATGATATAAAAGCATTCACACTCAAAAATTAAAAAAAAAGAAAGAAATTATATTGGCCCTACACAACAAATATGAAGGCTGAATTCTGCCTATAGAACACAAATTTATGATCCCTAGCAATGGGATGTTAGAGAAGGGACTTTATCATGAAATTGACATGAGTTGGTTTTTATCTTGTATATATCTTATATCTTATCTCTATAAATGACATCTCCTCATTTTCCTGTGGTTAGAAGACAGGAGCCAGGCAGAAAAGCAGAGGAACAAATTTGGAGGCTATAATAACATTCTACATAAGGAAGTATGCTAGTGTAGATAGAATAAATTGATAGCTGGGATTAAGAGATGTAAATGAATTTGAGATACATATTCTAGAGGCAGAATATGCACTACTTTTTATATGTCCATATACAGAAATTGGTTGCATTATTCTTAAATAGAAATATTTGTGAAAAGCCAGTGAGTGTTATGTTTCCTTCCCTCTGACTTCAATTCCTTATTTCTCCCAGTATTATTTTTTATATAAATGTACTATCTAAATTAGCTAGATCAGTTTATGCTTCTCTGTTGAGAGAAGTTGGCATGCTATCAAGTGGGCTGGGCGTCCTAAGTTTGTTTCCCTTCTCCGAGTCTTCAAAGCTTCAAGGCTGCCAAATAATTTCCTTCTCTCATTTTGTGTCTTCCTACATAGATATCCAGACAGAGCAGCTACCCTCAGCTCTAGCTGATGCTATCGACACTACAACAGGTAAATGTCTTTCTGCTTTTCATTTTTCCTAGCAAGCATTAGTCTCTCTGTCAATCTCTCTCTCAAAGACAGTGCCACTTGTCAATCTCTGTTTTGCTTAGTTAAAAAAAATAATTTATAGTAAAAAATTAGCTAATTTGTTTTTTGTTGTCTGTTTATCCTTTGTTTTCTCATTTTTTGCTGTTTGTTCACCCTTTGTTATGTAGAGTATATAAGACGCATAAATGCAAGTTTTATAACAGTACATGTTATCTGTTTTTTAATATTTAATGGAAAATATATCTGATTTGCCGTTAGGTCAAGCAGTATGGCAGTGACAATGCATTTGACATGGTTGCAAGAAAAGATCCTGCAAAATTAAATTGGAGAAAAGTGGCTTAGCCTTCTCTATAAGGCTAGTGTCCATGGATTCTCTAAACAAGCGTTGCTTGATAGATGTTGTAATCAAGGGCCTACTCTAACAGTGATTTATAGTGGAGATCATGTTATTGGAGCTTATTCACAAATGAGTTACCAGCAAGGAAAGTATGCTGCCATCCTCCTTTTCACACTTCAAGAGACTAAAATTTCAAAATGCGAAACGGGACGATATACACCAGACATACTGTTTGATGATGAAAATATACAATATTATTCCAGTGATTTCCAGATAGATGCAAGTAACCAAAAAGTGATTATGAGCTCAAATAATATTGAAAATCTTGGACTTGGCCAAAATCGTACTATGTCTATTCAGGAATGTGAAGTTTTTCCTTGTGAAGGTAGGTTTAATTAGGAAATCCTGTATAGAGATCTCCCTTGCATGTTTGGTTGGTTTGAACCAATTCATCTCTTTAAGGAAATGTGACCTTTTCATTTGTCCATAATTTGGATGGTTCATACTGAAACCTGGACACAAATTGTTTGCTAAGACACAACCATGGTCAATAAAATATATATTTTTGATAGAAACACTTAACATAAGATTTATCCTTAGTAAATTTTTAAGTACAGTAAATCCTCACATAATGTGGACTGTAGGTTCTTGGAAACTGTGACTTAAATGAAATAACTTAGAAGGAAATCAATTTATTTCCCTCACGATTATGGAAGAAAGACATTTTTCAAGGACATGCTATATGTTATTTTGCTTAAAATTACAGTTGTCAAGAATCCATGATGATGTTAAGTGAAGACTTACTGTAGACCAGCAGTGGTTGCCACCTTTTTGGCACCAGGGACCAGTTTCGTGGAAGACAGTTTTTCCACAGACTGGTGGTGGGGGGATGGTTTGAAGCACATTACATGTATTTTTCACTTTTCTATTGTTGTTATGCTGTAACATATAATGAAATAATTATATGACTCATTGTAATGTAGAATCAGTGGGAACCCTGAGCTTGTTTTCTGCAACTAAACAGTCCCAACTGGGGGGTGATGGGAGACAGTGACTGATCATCAAGCATTAGATTCTCATAAGGAGCATGCACAGCTCTTAATAGGGTTCGCGCTCTTATGAGAATCTAATTCTACCTCTGATCTGACAGGAAGCAGAGTTCAAGCTGTAATATGAGCAATAGGGAGCAGCTGTAAATACAGATGAAGCCTCACTCGCCTGCTGCTCACCTCCTGCAGTGTGGCCTGGATCCTAACTGGCCACAGACAGCCACGGTTCCGTGGCCCCAAGGCTTGGGGACCCCTGCCATACAGTATTGTTACTGTAGGTACTATACTGTACAGTAGATCTCTAAGATTTAATTATCTTTCATAGGTAAAACTTTGTACCCTTTTACAAATGTATCCCCCTTTCCTCCTTCCCACAGTCCCTGGCAAACCACCATTCTAACTCTGCTTTTATAAATTTGACTATTTTAGATTCCTCATGTAAGTGGGATTACGTAGTATTTGTCCTTTTGTGTCTGGCTTATTTCACTTAGCCTAATATCTTCCAACTTAATTCATATTGTCACAAATGACAGGATTTTTTTTTTTGAGACAGAATCTTGTTCTTTACCAGGCTGGAGTGCAGTGGTGTAATCTCGGCTCACTGCAACCTCCGCCTCCTGGGTTCAAGCGATTCTTCCGCCTCAGCCTCCCGAATAGTTGGGACCACAGGTGAGTGCCACCATGCCTGGCTAATTTTTGTATTTTTAGTAGAGACAGGGTTTCACCATGTTGGCCAGGATGGTCTTGATCTCTTGACCTTGTGATCTGCCCGCCTCGGCCTCCCAAAGTGCTGGGATTACAGGCATGAGCCACTGCACCCGGCCATGGCAGGATTTTTTTTTCATTTGTAAGGCAAAGTAATACTCCATTATATGCATATGCCACATTTTAAAAGTCCATTTGTTTGTTGATGGACATTTCAGTGGCTTTCATATAGTTTCACACTATATTAAAAGAACATAATTAATTTTTTTACTAAAGAATATTTATTTCCAATTTCTGCTGTTGTAAACAGTGCTCCTGTAGTATCTTTATGCATATAAATTTATCTACAAAAATATTTCTTTATAGTGATTCCTTAGAAGTGAAATTGTCACTTAAGGATTATGATCATTTGGATTTGGATGGATGCCTTTCAAGAGGTTCAGTTTCTATACCATCCCTAATCATTATAGAAATGCCTATTTCCCTGTATCCTTATCTATCTTGGATATCACCAAGCTTTAGAATATTTGCTGATTTGATTGTGAAAAGGTAGTTTCTCCTTTTTATTTCCACTTTTCCTTGATCAATAACACCTTTATGTGCATTGGTGATTTGCATCTTCTATAAAATACTTGTTTATATCTAATCATTGAAAATAAGGGCTCCTGTGAATGGCATTACCTGAGTATTTGCATGTTCTAGAGTAATTGCCTGTAATATTCATACTTGAATGACTGTAAGAGTACATCATTCTTGTATTATATTTATTTGGGAAGACATTTTAATGTTTCTACAGCATTGATGTTGTTGTGGAAAACCTAAAGCCAGATTATTTATCATTACTTTTTTTTTTCACTTCTATTTGAGTCATTTGATTGTTCTTCTTTTCTGTCTTTAATTTTTATTAAATAAAAAATATTTAATAAATTTACTTGGATAAATCATGATATCGGCCATCCTAGATCAGTTAAGTAAATTTTTTATTGAGATGTCACCATAATCAGTAAAGTACACAATTGATAAATGTATTTACAATTAGAACACCCTCATGTAACAACATTCAGATTAAGAAATAGACTACCATCATTTCAAAAGACTCTGTCATGATTCTTTTCATTTATTACCAACCAAAGGTAACCATTATTCTATGTCTTGCATGGTCATTAATATTTTCTGCTTTTGAATCATATATACATAATTATAAACCTACCAAAGTGTGAGCTTTTTTATTTCTAGCTTCTTCCATTCAATATTATATTTATGACATTGAGCTAATACAAGGATTAGATTTCATTTAAAATATGACTCCTATGAATCAGATCTCTTACCAAATATTGCTGTATTAGTAATTTCAAAGATAGGGGCAATCATAAATCTAAGAAAAGGCAGAAAAAGTACTTAGATATTCTGTATGGCTCCCTAAGTCTTTTCTTTCCATATTCCACATATGCTTTATGTAATAGGCAGGGCTTTTAAGTAAAGTTTATGGTTCACTTTACATATTGAAAAATTATACACCAGCTTCCATGACATTTTCAAGGAAGCATGCCCCCTTAAACCACAGAAACTGGATTTTTTTTTTTTTTGAGAAGGAGTCTTGCTTTGTGTCCCAGGCTGGAGTACAGTGGCACGATCTCAGCTGACTGCAACTTCTGCCTCCTGGGTTCAAGCAATTCTCCTGCCTCAGCCTCCCAAGTGGCTGGGATTACAGGAATGTGCCGCCACCCCTGGCTAATTTTTTGTATTTTAGTATAGATGGGGTTTCACCATGCTGGCCAGGCTGGTCTCAAACTCCTGACCTTGTGATCCATCTGCCTCAGCCTCCCAAGGTGCTGGGATTATAGGTGTGAGCCACAGTGGCTGGCCAGAATCTAAATTTATTTACTAAGAAATTCTTAGCCAACAGATATCCTGTTAAGGACAGTCAAGAGATGAGTACTGTTCCATGTGGGAAATATCATTAGTCTATTTACCAGGATATAAAATTACTGGCATAGTTATTAGAAAATTAGACTTGGTCAATTATCTTCTTTTTTTCTGAGAGCGTTCCCCAGTAAATTGAGTGAATGTATTGGTCTAGCTGCTTTAATTCCTACCTCCATAGTGATCCATCCTTATTATTGTATGTAGCAATAGTTTGTTCCTTTTCATTCATGTAGAATTCCATTGCGGTCCATTCTTCACAGTATTTTATCCAATCATCACTGGTGGACATTTGTGTTTTCCAGTTTGGGGCTATTACAAATAATACTGCTATAAATATTACTGTACATATCTTTTGGTTCACACACATGAATTTTTTTTTAAGAAAATACCAGTGACATTGCTGGATCATAGAGTATGTATATATTCATCTTCAGTTGACACTAACAAAATTTCCTAACATAGGTGTATCAATTTCTACAACTATAAGTAGTATCAAGGGTTGCCGTCACTTCAAATCTTTTTCAGCATTTTGTATTATTTTTAGAATATGTAACTATTTTGGTATATGAGTGGTGGTATGACATTTAGCAATTTTGTCTTTCTCTGATAAAACAAGATAATTTATTTTACTTTTCAAAATAATCAATTACCATATTAATTCATCCTTTCTTCACATTTTAAAATTTGGTTTCATATTTTATTATTTACTTTTATATTCTTAGGGTTTCTTTTTTCTTCTTAAATCTATTTTCAATTTTCAACATTTTCCTTCTTTCTTGTCATTCATGAAATGGATTTTATCACAAAATGGATATAAAATTTTATATTGCTATTTTCTATATTTTTATAATTGTGTTTTTTATTTCCTTTGGGATATTAAAGTTATTTAAGAGATTTTTAAAATCCCCCATGGCTGCTTTTCCATTTGTTTGTACTTGTGCTTTGCTAGTCTTATTATAGACATTGAGTGATGTTTTCACAATTTCTACTATTGGTAATTTATTGTTTACTTTGTTACCACATGTATGGCCATGTTTAGAAATGTTCCACATGATATTCTTCTTTCGTAATTGAGAGGATTGCTAGCCACACTTATGCTTATCCTTTCTGTTTTAAAATCACTGTAAAAATGTCTCTTTCCAAGAAAAAGTAATTCTGAGCCTGAGCCTTATTGATCTGAATGAAGTCCTTTGCTTATCCCTGAACAATTTACTGGGCAGGCATGAGTCTCATTTTCTCTTCTGGGGACAGGAATAAAATTAAGTGAGCTGGAAGTTTCTGGAATTCCAATTGTTAATATCAAGTTGTAGAGAAAATCTAGTGCCCTTGTTTTCTGTTTGTCTCCACACATTAACCATCTTAGACCTACTGGATTATGGAGGAGAAAATGTCTTACTAGAGCATTCCCACATCTGTAGGCCTTGCTTCTTTTATTCAGAAAACACCCATACCCTCAATTCCCATGTTGGAGTGAGTCACACATCACTGTTGAGTAATTGAATGACAAGAGATCTGCTGATAGTACAGTCTTGTAGGGTCTATTGCCTCTAGCCCTTGCCTCTTCAAATGAGATGATGTTAATGAGATTTAACAGAATTTTCTCTACGAAATTGCTCCCTTTTCACTAGGCAAGACTGTTATCATGGAAAAGCTATTTTAGTATTTGTCCCTAGTCAATTCATTGACATTCATTCAGTCAGCCAATCATTCAACAACTGCTAATCTACATTATTCTTTTATTATTTCCCTAGATTTACTGGACGAGAGAAAGATAAAAGTGGTCGCTGAGTTAGTCAATGTCTTTAAGATTCTATTGCTCTCTTCATCACCTTTGACTTATTCAATCATAGGTCTCATCAATAAAATTGGCAACACATATTATCACACATAACTTGTGGATCATCAAGAACAAACTGTACCATAATCATAAAATATCTGATAATATTAATGTTAAAACAAAAATATCACTGAATAGAGGGGAGGAAGTTTTAATGTTATGTACTTGAATAAAAACGATTATTAGTTTGTATGTCTGCGTTTTGTTTAGGATTCTTGCAGTTAAAGTTTCAATTGCTCTTGAGAGTTGCTGTTGGCAGGTGGGGAATACCTACCATGAACTTCAATAATATGTTAGAAATTGGTTACTTTCATAAACTTCAGAAGTCACATGTATTGTGACTTCATCCTTACTATTCTAACTAGCAAATTCGAGCTACAAGTGAGTCCATAGCCAAATCATATTGTTTACCCGAGGCCTTCAAACACTGCTTCCACTATTACTTCTAACAAATCACACCAACCTTGCCTTACCCCCACCATTATTCTAGTAGGGGAACTTTTTGTGACTATGGTTTCATTCTCCTGATCAAACATCACTATTATGCCTATAGGACTTAATATACTAATTACACATTTAAAATACTAATCACATGTGTGTGACTTCTGAAGTTTAGTCTTAAATATTGATCTTTATGTTTAATATAGCTATTATTTATTCATAGATTTACATGGTCTAGGAACTTAAATCTGAAATATTTTGTCTGGTTTTAGTTGTGCATTATTTTGCTTTTTGTTCTTTTTGCAACAGGATTTGGGGTAAGGTAGTCTCATGTCTTTTATGTGAGAAGGCAAGTTGCTAAACAAAAATAGTATCTATGAAAAAATGAATTCTAGTAAAATTCATTGTAAGGTTTTGTGACCTAAACTCAGTCAATTGTTAAAAACTGTCGTGTCTAAACAGGCTCAGGAAGAGCTTATTGTCTGCCTTGAGAATTTATGAATCATATGGATCCCTGGTTCAAAAAATACGAATTCTGCCTCTGGGTCCAGTTGGAGCCGGGAAGTCTAGCTTTTTCAACTCAGAGAAGGTCTGTTTCCAAGGGCATGTAACACATCAGGCTTTGGTGGGTACTAATACAACTGGGACATCAGAGAAGGTAAGTACATTTGAGGCCACCTAACTTTTGCTTCTCTTTTCAAATTAATTATATTTCAAAAGCCTTTTACAGATCAACTTTATTACATGTAGATTTCATCTCAATTTACAATAAAACGTTATTCTTGGCTGGGTGCGGTGGCTAATGCCTGTAATCCCAGCATGTTGGGAGACTGAGGCAGGCAGATCATGAGATCAGGAGTTCAAGACCAGCCTCACCAATATGGTGAAACCTCATCTCTACTAAAGTGTATTGGGTGCCAATCATATACTCGAACAGCATTCACGGCATAAACAGTTAGTAGCAGCTATACTTACCGTATTAACTAAAACCAGCTCCACCATACTAAGAGGGATTTGGGAGCCTTTGGAATTAAATTTGATATGGTAATCAAGTGTAGATAGCTTTTCTGGAGGCTTATTAATATGAGAAGGAATTTTAACTCAGGGACGCTAGAAGGAGATCTTTCTCAGGGATCTTGCCTGTGCAAGATAGGCCAGTTAGGAAGACAGTAAAGCTATTTGAAATTTAAAAAGAAAGCAATAAAGGAAGAGGAAATAAGGGAGGAAAAGAAGAAAGGAAGGAAAAATTAAAGAAGGTAGGAAGGAAGGGAGGGAGGGAGAGAGAGAAGCTGGGACTAGGTAAACTAGAGGCTTAGGCTGTGGAAACACTAACGCCAGCCTACTATGGCAAGTTATTACTGGGAATGCAGTCTTTACTGCTAATTTCTCATAACCAGAATATCCATGTTCCTTGTGGTGAAATTGGTTGAGATTGGACAGATTAAGGATCAACACCATTTCCTCTTTACGGGAAACAGATGCTACTTAAAAGCCTTTATCGGTAAAAACTTGTTCTGTAATGGCTGGCATATGCTTTTCTCTCAGACGAGTTGGTACTTAGAATTTACTGGGCAGCGGCCTCTGGGAACTACCCCAGTTGCATGAAAATATATAGTATGCAGAAAATGGAATATCTACTGGGATTGGTAGTAAAACAACACAGTAGTATTACTGATGTGTAGTGTGCTCAGCATTATTTAAATTTCCTACCATGATTGTTTGGTGCAATAAAGGAAATATAGACTCATTTATAGATATAACTGAAAATAAAACTTTCATAGATAGTGAACTTTCACAACGCAGTGATCCTCCATTTGATTAACTACCTGTGGAAGCTAATTGACCAGAGGAAGAAGTAAATTTAATTTTGGAAAAGTATACATGCAATTGGATCCCTCTATCAACATCTATAAAATATACAAGTAATTGTGAATAAAAAAATAAAAGAGTCAATCTATTAAAAAATATCAAAACACTTGTTTTATGTTCTTGGTAAACATATTTTGCTGAAGGAATTCCAACTCTAAATTTAATATTGCAGCTCTTGGTGGCAAGTCTCACACACGCAGTGTTTCACTAGCAGTAGCTGTCTAAGTTCCAGGCAGTCTGCACTCAGAACTCAAAGCTGCCTCAGGTGTTAGTGGCAGAAGGTATCCAAGTCACGGCACCAAAATATGTTGGAGGCAGAAATTATCCGAGTTACCAGTGGTGAATCTGTATAGATCTGCAGCATCCTCAATTCTTGTCTTCTTGGAAGAAAGAATTCAACTGAGGGGCATAAGGCAGAAAAAGAGACCAAGACAAGTTTCAGAGCAGGAGTGGAAGTTCATTAAAAAGTGTTAGAGCAGGAGGCCTGCGTGCAGTGGCTCACACCTGTAATCCCAGCACTTTGGGAGGCTGAGCCAGGAGGATCATGAGGTCAAGGGATCGAGACCATCCTGGCAACATGGTGATACCCCGTCTCTACTAAAAATACAAAAATTAGCTGTGCGCCACCTGTAGTCCCAGTTACTCAGGAAGCTGAAGCAGGAGAATCGCTTAAACCTGGGAGGTGGAGGTTGCAGTGAGCCAAGATCATGCCACTGCACTCCAGCCTAGGTGACAGAGCGAGATGCCATCTCAAAAAATAAAAATTAATAAGCAAACAAATAAATAAAACTTTAGACCAGGAACAAAAGGAAAGTACACTTGGAAGAGACCCAAGTGGGCATCTTGGAGGTCAAGTGCCTTGTTTAAACTTAAACCTAGGATTTTATATGCTGGTCTACTGTCAGTGTCTTGTGCTCCTTCCCCTTCATTCTTCCCTTACAGTGAGATGCCCACATAGCGGTGCCCTGCTTGTGCTTGGGAGGTAAGCATGTGCAGTGTGTTTAGTGGAGTTGTATGCATGTTCACCTGAGGCTTTCTTCCCCTTTTTGGTGGAATGCCCTGGAAAGTCATTCTCCACCATTTTGCCTGTTAATGAGCATGCCCAAGGAACTGAGCCCACTTTCCCAGTTCCTAAGATCTTATTGAAAGTTGCTGATTATCAATTTCAGGTGCTTTTATCTACTGGCTAACTGCCTCTCCATGGCACTGGCTGCAACCAATTATCATTTAAGAGAGGCAGTGTGACAGCTGCTGGACCACACCTGATGGTCTCCTGACATTCCTGGTAAGTCGAGGGAGCCCTCTCTTGACCTGCTCATGTCTGACCACCTGCCTACTATAACACAGGGAGATGGAAACCATGGCTTTCAGGCCATGCCTTTTCAGTCAGCCTGTGAAGCAGGGGCAGCCATCTCCTGAATCTATAGCTACAGCACGCTTCCCACTTGCCCCTTTGTTCTAGCCAAGGGAAATTCATCCCCACTCAATATTATACTGCAAATCTCAGTTGTGAGTGTCTTTCAACCTGTGACTGCCACCTGAGTTAGCTAGCAGACTTCCATATGGTCCCCTATGAGGTACAATCAGGAATAGCTTCTCTCTGTCCCCTCTGGAGACTGGTTGTGCATGCAAAGCACATCTTGATGCTGCTCCTTCTCACATACTCCCCACCGCTTACAAAATCAGCTGCAGAGCTGTTTGGGGTTAAGGCCTCCCCCATCGCCTTGATTGCAGGTTCCCCAGTGGGACTTTATATCCTGGAGGCAGTCTCTTTCCTTCTCACACTGTGACTTCTCACACTCTGAAAATTCCACTTGGTTCATGGTGTAGACTGCAGCCTGCCTCTTCTTTCAAAGGGTCTGCGATCTGTTTCCGTTTTCCTGTTAAGCGTCTGTGTTGCTTTTCGGAAAAAAGCTCACAGTGTGAATCTCCACACACTGTTTTGTTTTCCAAGTGGAAGAGGCATGCTAACAATGCCTCAAACCTGCCATGTTGGAAGAAAAACAAAAACAGAGCAAAAGCAAATGTCCTCTTTTTTGTCTAACTTTTTTACTCTTTTAGTTGTTGCTTCTATCGGTAGTTCCTTTCTTATTGCTGAGTGTTATTCCATCGTATGTATTTACTATAATTTATCAGTTTGGCTGTTAACTGACATTTGCATTGTTTCCAGTAAAGTTGAAGATATGTTGACCTGATAAGCTAGCTCTTTGACTTTTAGTCACATGTCTAAGGGAAATTTTTGCATGCTTATCTATCTATCTATCTATCTATCTATCTATCTATCTATCTATCTCTATCATCTATAGTTTTCTGTGTATTTTACAATTAAAACAAAAACATAAGAAGTGATATCTACACAAAATTTGAAATTAGGCAAAGCTAGGCCTGAATTCCTACTCTGCCTGATAATTTGTGACCTTCTAAAAGTCTCTAATTTCCCCATCTTACAGATGAAGATGATAACAGTACTGAATTCATAGGCATATTGTAATAATGAAATTAGATAGTACATATGTGAGGTTGGCCGAAAGGATGGAGAGGCAGACTCAGGGTCAGATTTACCAAGTTTAGTTCAACCAGCCAGGCTCACTGCCTCACCACAGGCAGTGAAGGAAGCAGCCTGGCTTGCAGACTATGGGGGTTAGGTAGGGGTTTGCAGGTAGCCGGGTGCTATTCCAAGAAAAACTGCATCTTGGTTCTCAGGGCCTGACATTCTGTTTAATTGGGTCAACGTCCTGGGTTTGAGAGCTAGGTTGGACCACATCGTGGAACCTAGGTGCTCTGTTAACAAGGCTTCAGGCTGTTTTTGTTATGAGCTCGGCTTAGCAGGGGAGAACGGGGAGGGAGGGGGTCTTTGGGGCTTGCTGTGACCCTAACAACATATAAACTAGATTACTGGTGCCTTCACTTAGAAAAACAAACTCAGGTGTCAATGGACATTGCCAATCCTATATAACAACAAACTGATAACTTACTATGTCTCTCTTGAGCAAATTTCGTTTTATTGTAATTGAAAATAAAGATATGACTTGGTAGCTCAAGAGAAAATGAAAGACTGAAAGTTCAGTTATAATTGGTATTAGGGTTTCCCTTTTCTTGTTTGAGTATTCAGTTTTCCTTTGGCTTCAAGAGGACATATCTAAAACAAACTCAAAATTTAAAGTAGGAAACTTATTAAATGGCTTGGTTTCGGCTGCCCCCTAGTGGTCAATGCTCTACAAACTAGAGCGATGCTGAAAAAGGAATTGTGGTTTGAATAAAAACGACTAAGGCTAATTCTTAACAAAAAACTATCACAACAAAAATTGTTTACATTTGTAATGTGATTAAAAATATGCAATCTTTAAATGTAAAACATTTTCATCCTGGTGTTTAATATGCAATGGTATTTGGAGATGCTGTGTTCTGTTTCACATTTTAATATTTCTGGAATTATATCAAACTGCTTATTCATACATATTTGCACTTTAGGCTGTCATTAATGTATCTTATTTTAACATGTTTGTCAACCTGTAAAATAGACATTTGAATGGACAATACTTAGAGATTATAGTGATCAATAAATATGTAAAATGGGTACTTTTGCCTTTTGCTTTTTGTAACTGTGATCCCTCGTTACATAACTTTGGATAATAAAGTTTTGAAGTGATTTATACATGTACGTGATCTGTACAGACATTTTAAAGCAGGACAAACATTTATCAAGTGCCACTTTCCATCAATTTTAATTTATAGTGGATTTAGGATTAGTCTGTAAGAACCAAGTGTTTACAAGTTGGTTACTATAGCAAATTGCTGTGAAAACATGACAATATGCTAATTCTTCATTTACAGAGATTTACAATCGATTTCTTTCGGTTACGTTGTAGTAACTTCAGAGTTCTTAGAATGGTGTAGTAGTCAGGGTACTCCAGAGTTAAGTAACCAATGGGATATCTGTGTCCATGAGAGGGAAAGTTTTAGGGGAACTGGCTAGTGATTATGGAGGCTGAGAAGCCACGACAGGCCAACTGCAACCTGAAGACTATAGGAA